TATATATATATATATATATATATATATATATATATATATATATATATTGAAAATGTTCTCTTGTTCTGGAAGTTAGTTGATCTAAATGAAACTAATGAAGTCCACCTTGTCCTACGGTAAAGGTGATGCCAGTAATGGTAGTAGTTTTAGCCAAGAGGTTTAAGTCGCTGCCGCTGGTGTGCTTCATACTTGGGTTCACAGTACAAACCTTTCCACCACCGCCCAACTTTGTGACTAACAGCTGAACTGCCGTCTGTTCTGATACCACGACTATTCTGTCCAGGTGCAGTCATCTTTTGGACCCTATGGTCCGAGGTTCTAGCACCGCCACCGTCTCTTCCGGTTCACGTCTAGCCTAAAAGGGCCTTATATGGTTCGCCACTTCAAGATCCGGAGCTTAGGTTATTAGTTTCTATCGCAGAACCGCAGGTCTTCCTGACTACCACCCTTCTGATGTTCATCACACAAAATTGTGTGTAATAAAAAAAGGCCGATGCAATTGCAAGGGCCTAGATTGTCGCTTCCCATAGCCAAACACTATGGTCTCATGACTATTGTTCATCACACAATAATGTGTAATCAAAAAAAGTCGGCTGACACCTCGCCCTTTTGATTGTAGTCCGGAAGAAACAGAGGGGAAAGTTCAGTTCGGAAATAAAACTGATGTCGGTTGTAACACAGTAGCTGCTAGACAATTGGCAAGAAATCGTAAGTTCATCTCTAAAATGATGAAAAACGAGAGAGGAGAAACACTTCTACTCTGTGGCCCTATATGATTCGATTCACGTCATTTGTTAATTCCGTTTTTTTTTCAGTACATTTTTCTGTTGCTTCCTCCCGTTATCCCACTCGAAGTTCGTGAATAACTGGTGGAATCAATTGATAATTTGCACTTGTTTTCCCCGGCTACTTACTATATCGTCAGTTTCCTATTCCATTCTGAGTGAGACGAGTATAAAATGCATACCAATCTATTCGTTTTGGCTCACACTTTTGCTATCATAGGTTGGACATCATGCGACTCACTTTGGCCGAATTCGGTCAACAAGAACTGACTCCGGTTGCCGTGGCCAAATGTATCTGTTTGTTTCTACGTATGGCCGAAGTGAAACCCAACGAAAGTGATCGTGGTCGTGGGTTGGAGTCAAATCCTTTGACAACTGTGGGTATGCGTCGACAAGACGCACGCCGTGCATCACACCAAGCCGATCAATTCGACTCGGACACTCAGATGATACTGCGAACGGGCAGTTCAGGGGCGTTATGGCGCGAGGCCGGTGTGAGTGGTTGCGGCACTTCCGGTTCCCAAACAGCACGACCCTCTTCTCTTTTTGTTCCGAACTCAATCTGTGATCATCTACCCTCAAGCTCGTTATCCGCATCGGAACCGCGGTTGAACCAGCTAGATTCCGAAGCTTCACAATTGTCTTGTACGTTTTTCCTTTGAAATTGGCCTATGTTTTTTCCCGAGTGCCTGAATCACCTTCGAGATTGCAACAATGTCTACTGTTTATGAAAGGTCCAAGTGGCACTAATAAAATTCTCCCGATTCACAGTGTTATGCAAAGTGTAAAATGAGTGCGTGCCAGGCCCAAGCAATCCTTCCTCGACTGTTCATATTCATATGATCCAAAAGTGTCGGGCCCATTGGTGTGGCTATTTATTCTATTGATAAAGCCTTTCAGACTGACCTGGCGTGGCTTATCACGAGCTTTCGTCAGTTGCAGTAAACAATATGAGTCGTTGAAGGGTAAAATTCTAATCTCATTTTCTTCGCAATATTCTTATATGGAACTATTGTTAAATTCCCCTGTATCAGATAGTCACCTGATCAGAGTTTGGCGTTCCATTGTCATTCACTATACCGGTAAAGATACGTGCTGATCTTTAAACTGGGCATGTGCTATCATCCTTTTATTATGCTGGCTCTCGTCACCATTACCTCATCAGATGAGTGCTGGAATTTTAGCTTTTGTCCCCTGGACTGCTCACTTACGTAAATCTCCTTGACTATCACCGGCTGATTACTGCGAGTATTCACATTCTTCGGTGTATAATACCCTGTGCAATGAATGTTTCTTTGTATCGCCTTTGGATAGACTTCCCCAATGTCAACTGATTATCACTGTTTTTCTTGGTTCAGATTGCTAACTGCACACAGTCGAATTTTATGTATCATTCTCCACAATGTTGAGCTCCTGTTCGTAGTACACACGTTTTTGATCGTCTTCGTTGTTGCCGTAAAGCAATGGCTTAAGAAAATTTACTTCCACTGGCTCGTTGTAGGAGATAAATTGGCTTCATGAAGATTTTGAAACTTCAATAAAGTTTTATACCTGAAGTATCCCTAGCACCACCCGGCTTTCTCTCGAGGGCCTATTCGGCTTCCACTTCACTCTGTTTTGTATCCCAATGTCCCATCCCTTGTTGTTATCGTTGTTTTTGAGTTGGTTTCATGCTTGTTCGCAAGTGTGTTGTTCCTGGTGGCTTTCTACGAGCTGATTTGCCATTGCTAGTGATCAGTTGAATGTCTTCGACAGATCTGCCTGTTTCGGGAGTGTAAAAAAGTCAGACTTATGCTCGCCAACTTGAGCTGTTGCCACAACGTTCATGGATGTAAAAAGCACATACTCCCAATATATTTTGTGATTTCTCTTATTGTCGCGCCGAATTGTCTCTCATCACTCAAATGCCAGTTGTTTCAACCACGAATTGTCCAGCAGTTTGATCACTTGGACAACTTCAAGCATCAATCAGTTTTTAATTTATTCTTGTGTCTTCCCTTCCCATATCTGTCCGTATCCTCCGCGTGCAGTCACTTCCCGTTCAAACGAGTCTTACACGAATGCAGCCAAATGGAACATGGAAAATTTTCTTATCGTTTTAAATGAGTTAAATCCCACCCTTGGCACAGATCAGGTATGTTCCGTTTGCGCACTACTTCGCACACACAGCATACCCCCCACCCCCTCACGCGAACGTCCGCAACACCGTCGATTGTCCCCATTTGAAAACAAGTTGGTTAAACACAGTCATAGTCGATTTGTTTGTTTTGAACCTCTCATATTTTCCTCGTTCTTGTAGTTCATCTCACCGTTGAGTTTGCCTTAACCGGTGCACTTGTGTGCCTAAACAGAACTTTTGTTGTGCTATTACCAAATTAGGCGGACAAAGTTCAGTTCGACCTAATTATGTCCATAATGCTTCAGGAAGAGACTGTATTGGATGTGATTCTAGTCTTGATGGTAGACATTATCTATCTAGGTGATGACCTGGTAGCGTAGCTCTGCATATCCGTCCGATCGATGTCCTACCGCCGGTCGATCCTGACCAATGTATGTGCGCGGAGGTGCATGTGTTAGGGGTAATGGACTGTGAATGAACGCACACGTGCGGATGTGCGCACACACGCACCGTTTCCCATCCGTATCCGTGTGTGTGTGTGTGTAGTGCTGGTCTCCATCCAGCCCCCATTCGACTCGGTAGCCTCTCAGATTTTCCGTTGTCCCAATGTCCTAAATTTAGATTGCACATTCGTGACTCGATGCTGACGTTCATCTCATTTCGTTCGTTCCACTGGATACACTTTGTATCTTTACGGTCCTGGTGATGGCTAAAAGCTGTAGAAACAAAACTTTCAGTCGTTTGTTGAAAACATTAGTACTACGGCATTTGCAGTACCCTGAAGTGTACATTGACGTTCACGTTTAAACTGACTAAAGTTGAAATCGGTTATATTCTAGCTTTCGTTTAATGACTTACAGTTTGTCCGTGTTTCATACAAACCAAAACCATTTTCTACGCTGTTGTATTAGTGGTCTTGAGTAACTATTGTCTTTTAAGTATCGCCTTATCTCTCAGTTTGTACAAATGAACTTCGGTTCTATCCCGATCCGGTTATGGACGACCCAGTTGTTTCCGGAATACTGATTTGATCCAAATATTGGCTCTAAATTGAACCTTGAAATTGGCTTTCCTGGTGTGTGTGTGTGTGTGTGTGCGTGTATCCCTATTTATTGATATGTTTATTCATAGTAGTCAATATTCTACCAAAAGCAATACTTTAGTTCTAAAAGAAGCATTCCATCGATGAGTAGTTTTCACTAACCAGATTACAAAAATGTATTCCTTGGTCGTAATCACCAGATAATACATCAAGGCTACCGCGGTCCTGTGAGTGTAACTGAAGACTTGAGGTCACTAGCTGTTCCTCTTGAATAGAATAAGTGATCAATTCTTTCGTCTGACTGAACTCGCATCCTACTGGATCATCTTTATCCTCGCTAGTTCGCCGTTTTGCATGTGATTCAACCTCGAGATTTTTTCGATAGTTGGGCACCCATTCGGCAAATCTATTGGATGCGACAATAATCGCCACATGGACTTTGTTTTTGAGGACCAGTCTTATATGAACCTCGTGTTTCGCAACCGCATGACTTGACGTCGCACGGTACTTCACGCTTTTGTCTCCGTCCGTAACACGTGATTTGTGTGGGTGTGGGTGTGTAGTTACGCGCTCATCTGTTATATAGCTCTTATTCGTGGACCTAATTGTGCCTTATTGCGGCTGTTGTTGTATTATGCTTGCCTCTGTATGTGTGTTCTAGTCGGTACTGATGCGACTACTGCGATGATCAAGATGCAGTTTTGTATATATACACGTGTGTGTGTGTCAGTGCACAACGTAAGATTCATCGCATACGCGCCACAAACTACTGCAGTGATCTGTGTGAAAAGTGACATGCACGTTATCACGCGATCTCTAACACGAATTGAACACAGATCAACACTATTTCTCCTTCACTATTCACAAAACATAATTGTCCACTTGTCTGGTACCCCATGGAATCAAATCCTTTTTTCTCGACTCAAAAGATTTCATCAAGTCTGACGAGAAATGACCATCAACGTAATGTGTATTGTCAAGCAGATATTTTGTGAAAAGAGCAGTGATGCGGCCTTTCATCGTGCTGCGATTTTCGCTTGCAATGGTTAACATGTTCTGTACAATTCAAAACAACCGGAGTTGTGGTGAATTTTTGAATGTTGATATACTCTCTTGCTGATGGTATCTCTTCCAACGATATCTTACTCTTTGTCTTATTATGATCAGAACATTTATAGTAAACTGAAAGCACCAAAAGCTGATACCTTAGAATGTAGTTAATAAATGAGTCACGGATAACTAACCAGCTCGCCTCGCGGATCAGGAGGACCCCGATTCCAAAACTCACCCAGACGAGTAGCGCGGACTGAATGCGAAACATCTTGATTTCTTTGAACACCAACTCGTTTGGTTAATGGCACGCATTAGCCACCGTGGATGTAAGAGCCGAGCAATTGGATATTCTCCTCCGATAAAATATATTTTTCATCCATCGTCTCATTGCTTTACAGCTTGGGTTTTAAGTAATGGAAGATACTGATTGTGAATCTGTAAAAGCATTATCTGTTTCCGTTTGGACAAAAAAACACTGGCAGTGTCGCACCTAACGATTATTTTACCAGTTTGAATCCAGACTGGTATGAAATATGATCTCAATAACTTATTGAAATTTCGAGTATTCCAATTGTGTTGACAGCTTTTGGTTTACAGTAATGTAGTCGAGGTCATGTTCTTTCTGTTTGGTTGCAGGTGATATAAGTCATTCTTTAGAAAACATCAAAAAAGCATATAACTTTAATATCACCCTCTTAGTTCTACGATAACCTCCAATCCATTATAATTTATGCCTAATAATGTGTCAAGGTAATCGGTGCAAAAAACGGTGTCGCAACAGTGCAGAAAAAAAACAATGCTAGCTATGTTATCAAAAAAATGAGCAAACAATAACGCCCGATGTAAGGACAAGTTTTAAAGTTCTATTCATGTTGTGATAAAGCATCATAGCATCAGCAGTCAATCAAGACTAACGTCTTTGGATTTAGTGATTTGTCAAGGTTTTCATCCCAAGACTTTCAGTTTTACTTTTCTGCCTACTGGTAAGTTATTAGTAGTCAAAAGTTGGACGTGATATTAACTGGGATGTTTGGAATCCTTGAAATTAAATTTTCTCCTAATCGTGAGTTTGAGATGAAACACGGTTCTCATGAGTCATTTGTGCTTCCATTTTTAGGTTATCGTCGAATTAGATTGTCCTGAATTCTTCATCACAAGTCGTGCAGCGTTCGCGCTGCTCAAACAGTTTTTATTCCGTGGAAACCGTTCAGGTGGCTTGGAAATATTATGCTATCGACCGTGGAACAATGCACAAGGGCAACTGTCTTTACTGCGTCACTGCTTCACCTATCCCGATGTAATTTGTCTGGCCTATTACCCATTTCGTTGTGTTGATCTGTCACTATATCGTCTAAGTCCATCTGAAGACCAGGCCCTAATGCAAATTTGGTGAGTCTGTCATGTCTCTTATTGCGTGTTACATATGATGTACGTAAAAGGATAACATAAGCACGGAAATATTACTCTACATGGACCACGAGAAACATCTATATAAAACACAAGTTGTTGATTATGTGCGTAATTCTTGAAAAACAAGGATTAAAATGCCATCATTCGACAAGTCTCTAGAGTCACCTAGGAGGAGTGACTTAGAGCTTGCAACCGGGTTTCCGGAGCAAAAGACAATGGAGAAGACACGAAATCGGTTCCATGTTTGCTAAGACACCGCTTACCGTCACGAAATTTTGATCGTCAATCCACTTACTGAGTTACCGTTCTTTCCCCACATCATTCTAGCAGTGATTTCACGCGTCGTGACTGTCTAAATTGAATTTCTTTTCATCGCCAAAGTGGACGAAATCCCATTCATTTTTCCAGTTTACAAAAGTCTCAGTTCACAATAAAGGTTCTTCTATTTNTATACAGTTGTTAAAGCTCGTTTCTTGTATTTCATTCATGAGACTGTTTTAATCGTTCGTCGTACCGTTCCCACCGATACGTTCAACTCAAGCACCGTGTTTTGTCTCTTACGCGTGGCTCACGGAGTTTGAGACCATTTGTAGTAATCTGCACTGAACTTTCCCCGAGAGCTTTTTCTGGCGTCCGACTACTTATGGCTGATTTTAGCTGATTCCGCCTGGGATATTTTTACCACAGTTCGATA